TCCTTCCTATCGCAGGAATGCAAACGTGACTGAGTAACCTGAGTAATATGCAGGTAGAGGGACTCCTTTATCCCACAGCACCGGACACAAGAGAGATCTCTTTCATCTATTACATAAAACCAGCAACACTCCACGCCTTCATGTTGCTCTTCATGCCTCAGTGATACGTAAAGACCATGTTACTGGGAAACCGCAGCATAGAGGTATGTAAAGCATTAGCTGAAACCATACTGCGGTGGGAGAGGCAAGATGACGCATACGATCGTTTTGTTTACTCCTGGTCTCTATTTTATTATTTCCCCACCTGCCACTGAAACCTAAAAACATCAATCTGATGTACCTTTTCAATGACCCGGCGCCTGGCATGCTGGTAGATGTAAATGCGTATTTATAAACCAAACAAAAGCATGGCAGCTTTGGCGCGTCATGAAGAAATAAGGAGCCAGGATGTTTCTGGAGTTGAACTGTGAAGAGGTTTGGGTTTTTTTTGTTACATTTTTCAACATTTTCATTGTTATTTTACCAAACCGCAATATCACAAAATACAAAATGCGAGAGGACTGGGCAAAAATAAGTCGATAAAATGTTATTCTGCATTAAATGCAAAAGAAATGATGTAAGGTTGCAAGGCAATGAAAATCTATGTTAAATAAGTGGGTGCATATGCAACTTTATGTGCAGCTGTATATGCAACCTATGGAAACCTTATTTTTAGTTCTCAGAAAAGTACGTTATTTACTCTTCTAAGACTACGTGGTGAAAGAGAACCAGCTGTGCTTAATGATTTGCCTGTGTGTTAAATACAAATTTCAAATATCGACAGAAACAGAAATACTCTTCCTGTTGGTCGCAAGTAAGAAATGCTGTGAGGAATTAAACTGTGAAAAAAGCTAATGAGAGAAACTGTCTCCATCCTTACAGGCTTTGAAAGTCAAATGAATTAGGATGAAGGCTGACCTCTAGTGTTCAAGGGCTGTCTCGACTCGTCTTGACCTTTTACAGCCAAGGGAAGCGATCGAATTACCGATGATATAACAGAGCCACGTGCACAGTTAGATCCCTGGTTGTGTTCAATCACCTGCTCTTTTAACCTCCCATTTGATAAGTTAATTTTTTTATTTGTATTTCAGTATTTCATATTTAAATTTTATATTTAGACCATGGCATCAGATCCCAATTAAGTGGAGTAGACAGTGGAGGAAATTTCAGTGGTACAAGCACGATGAAAGAATACATCGTAGCTTCCTGCTCAGTGATCGTATCTACTTCCTTTTCTATCCCTTTGAAGAAGTGAGGCTCTATAAATATTAAAGAGGTAAGTATTACTTCTCAGCTGCAGTGAATAGATAGAAGAAAATAAACTGTAGGAAACTAAACAGAAGAAAGAAGAAGAGAAATAACAATTTTAACACAAACCAGTGACACACTCTGGGGCCTGATCAACCCTGGCAGGGCCTCCTTGGATGAGGGTGTCTGGTGATAATGGCCGAAACATCCGATCAATCCAAGGTCCACTACTGACGATGTGTCCCAAATTTTAATATGAATAGCTTGATCACATCTCTAATCCCTAAACCTAACCAAGGAAGAAAAATGGCAGATTAGCTTGGGTGAAAGACCGAAAGTTGGTAAAGCAGCTGGTAAAGTTTCTGGGCTGCTTTTCCTCATAACAGCCGTCCCTCAAGAATCTCTCCATCTAAAGCAATGCATTATCAGGGACTGGAACATCTAGTCCCTTTACTGCATCTGATTCACTAACTGTCCTCCATCTGTCCCCATCTTCTCAACACGCTCTCGTCACTCGTTAGCACATTTCCATCTCTATCCTCAATCCTTAATCAGTACAGTTGTTTTCTCCTTCATCAGTATCCACCCTCACATCACTTTCAGCCTTGGTCACTTCTTACTTTGCTGTGCATCTACCCTCCCAACACCTACTTTAATCATGTCCCTGATGATCCCACTTTTTCTTCACTAACCTCTTCCTTTGAATCATTTCCTATACTTCCTCATTCATCTGGTAACTCTTACCACCCAGATCCTGTCTTGGCATCATGCTTAACTCACCTTTGGGGCGATCGTGGCTCAAAGAGTTGGCAGTTTCTCTTGTAACCGGAAGGTCGCCGGTTCGAGCCTCGGCTCGGGCAGTCTTGGTCATTTTGTCCTTGGGCAAGACACTTCACCTACCGCCTACTGGTGATGGCCAGAGGGGCCGATGGCGCGATATGGCAGCCTCGCTTCTGTCAGTCTGTCCCAGGGCAGCTGTGGCTACAACTGTAGCTGCCTCCACCAGTGTGTGAATGCGAGAGTGAATGAATAGTGGAATTGTACAGCGCTTTGAGGGCCCCGAAAAGCGCTATATAAATGTAATCCATTATTATTATAACTTTCCTCCTTCTTCTGCCTCCAACATTTAATCCTTGCCCCCACCTTCGCTTGCTGCCTTTTCTTGACTTCCAGAGCTGCTATCCGATGCTGCCTAACGTTATTCTCCCCGGACAGCAACCTGCTCTCTCCTGTCGCTTTCAGTTTGCACCTTCTGCCTAAGTTGTGTGCGCCTCCCTACACTCCTCTGTCACCCGATCTCAGCTATTGCTTTGGTTTTTGCAAAATCCACGACCACCATTTCTCTCCCAAGCAACAGCCCCTAATCACCCCTGTTCCCTTCACCTACACGTTCATCTTCTGATCCAATCTACCAGTCAACCATGATCCAGTCCAACACTCTTCAGTTACACGACTTTATTCATGTACCATTCCTTTAACGTTACCCCTACTCCAATTTTACATCTCTGCCATGATGAACAACTTGACTCCACCTCCAGAGCTCCCACCCTTGCTCCTCTTCCACCTGGTCTCCTGCACACACACCTTATCTACCTTCCATTTCTCCATCATATCAGCCAACGCTCATAGTCCCTACATTTAAAGCCTCTAGTCTAACCTCCACACTCAAGCTTTTCTTTCCCTCTCTGTCTCTGAATCTTCTTCCATTACTCTTATTTTGTCTTCAGCCAACAGTAACACAGTTTACACCTTCTAATGTGGGCCAACAACATCAGATGCAGTCATTGTTAACTCTTCCCCAGCCGATCCAGTCTTCCACGTCGTAGTTGGCAAAGATTTTCCACCAGATGCCCTTCCTGACAAAACCCTGCACACTTGTCCAGGCTTGGAGCCAGAGCTAGCAGTACACTGGCAGTATGCTATTATGTTAGCCATTACACAATGATAAGATCCATTTGGGTAATTTGTATTTTTCATTATTAAAATGAGAAAAAGCACTAATACATATAAGGTTTGTAGTGGGCTGTTTGACCTTGTGCTCATTACAAGAATTCAACTGAAAGCACATTTTCTCACAAAAGTTACTAAAAAAACCACATTAAAAACAGTTGTTGACGTTAATAATAGTCGCTGCTCTTTTTTTAGAACCTTCAGATAGATAGATAGCTGCTGCTGACAGACAGTTTTAGCACAAAAGGTGCAAAATAATCAGCCGAATTCCACTGTAAGCAACCCGGGCTTTACGAGTGACTGAGAATAATGGAGCCCCACCTGACATGCATGCTCTGTGTGCCGAAATAAAAAAGTCCAGTAATCCCTTAAGCCAATAAAGACAGGAAACAGACGCAGAGACGAAGGACAAAAGTCAAACACGGTTGCAGAAAATATCGTGTGGGTGTGGCGAGCATTTGCCCTTCCTAAATGCGCTGCAGTGATTCAGCACTCAGGGAACGGAAAGCTTACAGTGATGCATGAAGGCCAAGAGTGCAAAGAGGTGATTCCTTCGCACACGTAAACTTGCGAAATTATAAAAACTTGAAAGGTGCAGTTCCTGCATTTATGTTGCTCTGAAGGGAAACAAATACCTGCTGTGAAGATAATGATATTCAGATGCAAAGTTCAGCTGCAATGGAAAGTAAAATACTTTTTCCACTTAAAGTGTTTAACATTTTTACGTCACCAGTTTACTGCGTAATGTTGTTGTTTAAGGATCAGTAACAAGCACTCGTATTTGGGAAAATATAAAAACAGGAAGTGATAAAATTTGCTTTGTTATCCATATAAACATCCTTCTGATTAGTAATATTAGTTAGTTATATTTTAATATTGAGGAACAGATGTATACATCTTAAAGCAAAGGAAATCACGTCTTCCTCTTTTGTCGCTTAAAAGCGGAAATTCTTGAGTTGTGGAGACATGCGAGGAGACAACACGCATCACATGACAAAACTATAACAAGAATTTAGGTTTTATAAGCT